CGAAGAAAAAGGAATGCAGACGGCCCCCATATGTGTCGGCGGCGCCCGATGGGTGCAACGGATTCCCAAAACGGAAACCAAGGACGTCTCCTCAGCCCGAAAAGGAAATGTCTAACGGCCAATTACGAGGTCTTGGATCCCCTCAGGCTGATCCGTGTGCGTACCCGTTGGTGACAGTTGCCGTTAGGGGAATCCGTTCGAATTGGAATTGGAACGATGATGGGGCGAATGATTAGCAGTGGGACCAAAAAAGGAAAAACGAAAAAAAAAGGAAGGTCCTCTTCTTTTCCTTTTTTTATTGGGAAAAAAAAACAAAAAAAAACGAAGTGGCTCAGCTTCATCGTCCTTATCGAGTGAGCATGGCGCCTCTCTTCCCCACAGAGACACGAGGAGGGAGGGAACCGCTCGACCCAGGCCATGAAGACATGTCCCTTTCTGGACTCGTCAAAGGCTAATATAATACAGTGCTGATGGACGTCTGCCTGTGCTTGGAGAAGACAACCCGAAGATAATCCACAACATTGCGAGTACAATACAGAGGTGATGAACGTCTGGCTGTGTTTGAAGATCTATGGAAGACGAGAGAAGCCAATCTGAAGGTAATAGACAACATTGCAAGTACAATACAGAGGTGATGAAACTCTGGCTGTGGTTGAAGACCTATGGAAGAAGAGAGAAGACAACCCGAAAGTAATCCACAACATTGCAAGCACTGAGAACTACCGTGATGGTCAGGTTTGACTTTGACCGGAAAAAGTTCTTGGCACAATGTCGACGGTTAAGGGATGCTCAGACACTCGCCAGCCAAGAGCGAGGAGCTTGCCTGCACAGGAGATGAGCAGTTAGAAGGTAGTGGGCACTACTCCTGGCGGTAGGACTGATGAGCACTTTTGCTTCTGGCAAGGGAGTTCTAGGAAGTACGGCAGGGGTTGCAGGTGCACATGGATTGAGTGAGGGTGGATCAAAAGCCCCTTGGACTGGGCATAATGTCAACGATGCTCGCAAGCCAAGAGCAGGGAGCTTGCTCGTACAGAAGGTGAGCAGTTAGAAGGTAGTGAGCACTATTTCTGGTAAGGAGCACAGGGGAGTTCCGGGGAGTACAGCAGGGTTTGCAAATGCACATGGCGTGGGTGAGGGTGGATCACACAAGCCCCTGGGTCTGGGAACAATGTCGGTGGTTCAGGGATGCTCAGAAGCCACCCAGCTTGCCTGCACAGAAGGTGAGCAGTAAGAAGGTAGTGGGCACAACTCCTGGCGGTGCAGAAGGGGTTGCAGGTGCAAATGGAGTGGGTGAGGGTGGATCACAAGCCCCTGGGTCTGGTGGAGCTGCCAACTGGCTTCAGTGATACTGCATGGAAGAATATGATACTTTCTTCCCTAGTGCAAACAAGGCGGTTATGTTGTTTTATCTTCAGCAATATGGTCAAGTGGCCAATATACAAGAGCATTTGTTTAACAACTTTGAGCCTTGTGATGAGGATGCCTGCTGAGTCTCATAATCCACAGCCCATACCTCAAGGATAGGCGTACCCATGGTACTAAGCCCAGTACCTTTCGCCGCGTAACGTGCTGGCCTGAAACAGAAGGGCGGCCGCCGATACATCGAATCGGCCGCCAGTCTCGATATTCGGGCCAGCACCCAATGCCCGCGGCTGACATATGGGAAAGGTACTGGTGGTTTAACCAGGCTTATTTTGATTTTCGGGCGCAGGTGAACCAAGATCTCCCAAGATGGCGGATCCCATCATGCTGTGACGCCCAACCTCACGCCCGGCGTGACTTCCCGATCGGAGTGGGATGTGGGCCTGGAAGTGCGAAAAGGGGTGTGCCAAGGATTTTTGGGAAAGTGGGGGTGGAGTGTGACGCGCAACCTCACGCCCTGTGCTGTCTTTCGTTCGGAGTGCTAGATGTGCGGAAAGAGGCCCAGAAAAACAGCAAGATGGGGTGTGCCAAGGATTTTTGGAAATTGAGTGTGGGGACACACAACGGAACTGAAATCCGCCGTGTTGGTCCGATGAAGTAAGTCGGTTGCCTTCGGGCGTCGCGGAATGCGCACGCGGACGCGACGCGAAAAAAAAAAAAATCCAAATTCAATCCAAAAAGTATTGTCGAGCTTCCCACCGTGCTACGGCCCGTTGTTTAGAGCGGAAGGGCTTCGGCACGCTTCGCGTGTCTTGTTTTCGGATCAAATCCCGTCGTCGCTCGCTGGTTAGTTCTGAGTCTGATGTGGAGGGTCGCAGACGCGTGGCTCTTTCCTTATGCTCGTCCTCACTCCGTATTCGGTAGTGGAAGCCCTTTGCTTCATAGCGATCGAAACGCTGGCACTCTGTGCACAGGGTTCGAGGCCAATGGGGCGCCACTACCGTCCACCAACAGAAAAAATTCCCAGAATTAAATAATCATTCTAGAGTAAAATTACATTCTAAATTTTAAATTTTCATTCCATCTTAAAAAATGTAATTCTTATTTTAAAATTTTCCATCTTACTTAAAAACTTTCCTTCCAAGAATGGGGTATCCCTTCTTATTTGAACTTTATGCTAGAGATGGAACGAAAGTCCGGATGAGTTCATGAAATATTTCAATTGGACTGTCATTCTAAGTAAGGATTTACAGTCATAAATAGGTTAATCCAATCTAAATAAGACAATATTTGTTGTAATAAAATGAAAGTCTAATTAAAATATTTCATAAATTCGTCCAAACTTTCATTCCATCTTGAACAAATAAATGTAGTTGGAAAGGAAAGCTTGTATTTAGACGGGAACTTGTAAAATTAAATTGAAAATTTTAGAATTTGACAAACATTGGAATGATAATTTATAAATATGAAGGATTTTTCTTTTATAGAATGTTTTTTCAACTTTCATTTCTCATGGGAATTTTTCTGTTGACGGAATGACGATCAGCTCGTTAAAGGGGAGCAATATTGAGTAGGGTGGGAAGTGCGTGTCGATAATAACAAACCCAGCCTCTACGAACCCCGAACAACGGTTTGTCGGAGGGAAGTAGTATTGTCCGCCGATCTGTGCGACAGCTTCTCGTACGTCCCACTCGCATACACGTGTCCTTTCCTCGTTGTAAGGAAAAGCCGTGTTGATACGGGAGGTACGGGAGGCTGACGCCCGATCGGAGGGTACTTGTCAGTCCACATATCAATCAAGAAAAGAAAACACTCACGCAATCCCCAATCAATCCTTTTCTACACGAGAGAGAGAAAAAAAATACTCATCAGCTTGATGATGCATGTAACTAACGGACCGGCTCGCGGCTCGGGTTTAGTGAGTTAACGCGACGTTGATCCGAGACGCCTTGTTTCTCGAGGCCGCCCTGTGGCTCGGGTGCTGAGGTCGTGCAGCATAAGGCAGATGACATGCGCAGTACCTTCAGAGCTATAGATCTAAACACTCTTGCATTCTCGAACAAAATCCCGACAATAATCGTCTAATCAATTTCAAAAAAAAGGGACGCATACCTCCGTACATACATTCACTATGGAAGTTGCGAAAATGAGATATGCACCGAGACAAAAGATGGATCACTGAATAATACACACGCATCCACCGTTCATAAGACAA